CATGAGCCACTGCACCTGGCCGAGAGTAGATTTTCAAAGTCCTCATCACAAAAAGTGGTAAGAATGTGAAGTGATAGAAATGTCAATTAGCTTGATTTAGTCATAACAAAGCGTATAACCTATATTAAAACATCACATAGCACAACATAAATATATGCAATTTTTCATTTATCAACTAAAAATATAAAAAAATTCTTTTAAATGTTAAAATAATAAAGGAAAGCTCCTGTGAAGCACATATTTATTTTTGTTCCATAGCAGATTTAATTTTTTATCTCAGCAATAAAATGCAAAATCTCCATCAAATATAATAAAGTTCTATTCCAATGAAATATCGCTTTTGAAGCGATACCTGAACTTCCATGTTCCCCTTTCCTCTCCTACACTCCAGCCCCAGGAGGCTTAGAGACCTCGGTTCATGGTGAGAGTCACAAAAGGGAGTTGAGGAGGGGAGAAAGAAGCCACTCACACTTCTTCTCACTCATACTTCTTCTCACTCACACTTCTTCTCACTCACACTTCTTCTCACTCACACTTCTCACTCACACTTCTTCTCACAATTCACTTGATTATTTGATCATTACTTGAGATGAACATTCTCATTAACTTGGTACCCTTTTGTTTTGTTTTGTTTATAAACAGCAAACGTTTATTTCTCACAATGCTGGAGGTTGAGCAGTCCAATATTAAAGTGCCAACTGATTTGATGTCTGGGGAGGGCCTACTTTCTGGTTCATAGACGGCACCGTCTCGCTGTGTCCTCACATGGTAGAAGGGTGAACCAGCTCCTTCAAGTCTGTTAATAAGAGCACGAATCTCATTAAGGAAGGCTCCATCCTCATGAGCCAATCACCTCTCAGATAACTTGGGACTCTTTGAATTACCCAAGCATGGGAAGGAAGGTTGTACAAACTGCCTGGCTGTTTAGAATTCAGGAACAAGGGAAGAATAAGCCACAAACTAAAAATTAAAAGATTAAAAAGAGGCTGGGCGCGGTGGCTCACGCCTGTAATCCCAGCACTTTGGGAGGCCGAGGCGGGCGGATCACAAGGTTAGGAGATCGAGACCATGGTGAAACCCCGTCTCTACTAAAAATAGAAAAAAATTAGCCGGGCGCAGTGGTGGGCGCCTGTAGTCCCAGCTCCTCGAGAGGCTGAGGCAGGAGAATGGCGTGAACCCGGGAGGCGGAGCTTGCAGTGAGCCGAGATTGCGCCACTGCACTCCAGCCTGGGGGACAGAGCGAGACTCCGTCTCAAAAAAAAAAAAAAAAAAAAAAAAGATTAAAAAGAAAAATAGAATAGTATGACAATGTAAGTTAATTTGCATTACCTGGGTTGTCAGTGGGGTAATTTTAAAATATTTATTGGAGTTTTGTAGTTCCAGTCTTGGTGAATGATATATTCCTACTCCTTCCACATTTTGACACTGGGGTCTTCGTGATTTTCTTGCTGACCTGTGTGATGTGCCTTCACACCTTTGTCGTGGGTGTTGTCTAAGAGACTGCTCCGGCTTCTCTAGAACTTTATAAAATTAAAGGGGAAGACCTGATGTCAGCACTCACTCTCTATTCTGTTTCTACTCAAAGATGTGATCCAGAAACTTTGACTTTTCCATCTAAGTTCTAAGTTGCATTTAGGCCAAAATCTATGCCTTATCTATGCAGCTTTTTTAGCCAGAGTAGCACTTCAGGTCTTCCCAAACTTCCTCCCACTTAGTGCCATGGCCTCCTGTTAAATTACTTGTTTGACCTCCCAAGTCTTCCAAATTGTCTCCTAATGATCTCCCAGCAAACTACTGCAGGGAGATATATTTAAACTTGGTGTCGAAATTACATCTTTAATAATAGAAAATATTTTAAATAGAACCCCCAAAATGGCATCATTAGTTGATATTTTCAATATTTTGTCACAGCAGGAAATATTCAGGGTTATGTTAAAAAAGATTCACTCTTTTGGATCTGGGCCTAGGTCTATATGTAGCACCATATAGAGCATGTTCAGTGCCAAAATAATTAGGATTGGCACAGTAGCACTTGGCCTTAGCTGTAGTTTGTTTTTTTTTTTTTTTAAATGGAGTCTTGCTCTGTCGCCCAGGCTGGAGTGTAGTGGCGCAATCTTGGCTTACTGCAACCTCTGCCTCCCGGGTTCAAGTGATTCTCCTGCCTCAGCTTCCCCAGTAGCTGGGACTACAGCCGCATGCCACCATGCTTGGCTGATGTTTTTTGTATTTTTAGTAGAGATGAGGTTTCAGCATCTTGGCCACACTGGTCTTGAACTCCTGACCTCGTGATCCACCCATCTCGGCCTCCCAAAGTGCTGGGATTACAGGCATGAGCCAATGCACCCGGCCTGAGCTGTAGTTTTGACTATGCATAAGTGCATTCATTTTTTCAATCTTTAATGAATTGGGAAATTTCCTGAATTGGAATCCTCTTTGATCTACTTGGACCTTCTGCCTCATCCACCTCTTGACCAATGCTGGTACTCTCCACTAATACAGAATAAAAAATATTATCTCTACCTGGCAACATACAGCAATTGTGTCTGGACTAGACCGATTAGTTCTGGACCTATCCAGTCAAGAGCATATTTGCTCTATCTTCAACAGTTACCAGATTATTTTCTACACTGCTAACTCAGACTTGTAGCTTTTGCCTCTTTCTTTCTTATTTTATTTTATTTTTTTTAAGAGATAGAGTCTTGCTCTGTTGCCCAGTCTGGAGTGCAGTGGTGCAATCATAGCTCACTGCAGCCTCGAACTACTGGTCTCAAATGATCCTCCTTCCTCAGCCTCCCACATGTAGCTAAGACCACAGAAATAAGCCACCAGGCCCCGCTTCCTGTCTTTCTTTATACCAAAGAATCAAGTAGACATTTAAGGAGATTTTATCACTTAAGTTGATTTGACCCCGAAACAGCTCATTTATTAATTTGCTCATTCAACAAATATTCGTGATACCATTACTTTATGCCTGGCACTGTCTGCCCACACCTTCATTTTGTTTCCTAGGGAATTAAAGAAAAATCACATCATAGGACACCTGTATTACCGGATGCATAATATCTTTGTGAGCAGTCATGTAAAAAACAAAATCATTCCACTCTTGTTTTAATGCATTAGTGTATCTAATGATGAGAAACATTTTCCCAGAGGGAGCTGATTTTGCAAGTAATAAAGATTAGATGGACAGAACCAATAAAAAAAGGAGAAGCTGATGCAGGAGGACACAGGAGGTGTGACTGATGGAGGGCATAGCTGGGGCTTGAAATTTCATTAGAGGTAATTCCGCAGGAAAGCTGAAATTATTCAATTAGGTATTTAAGAAGATTCGATCTTTCTCTCATGAAGAGACACCCTCAGGGGTATTTCACATACGCTTCAATTTCTTTTACAACTCCTTAGAACATTTTAGATATTTTATTCAAGTCACAGCGGCCTCTATAGTAAGAGGTCCTTCGGGAGTGAGCATCAATTATGACGAATTAGGAAATGAACACATCATGTCGCTTTTGTTTATGAAGTCTGACTTTTAGAAATTACTAATATTAGTAGAACAATAAAATTATCATGGTAGATTGTACAAAGATGTGTTCTAATATAATATACTGGCTTCTTAGCCTTTGTAGGAATGTCAGCATCATTCTGTGGTTGGCTCTTTGCTTCATCTTGACTTTCATACAGGAAACCTTACAGAAATTGAGGAAATAGTGTCCCTGTTAGCACCGGTCTCAAATTTTCTGTGTAGTGTGTTTCCTTAATGATACCAGCTGGACGTCATTATCCAAAACTAAGGGTGGCACAGTGTAGTACAAAGGTGATATTTCCAAGGCAACCTCATCAAGGTAGCTTTACAATAAGTAATATTTGACAGTCCTCATCCAATGCATTTACTCAACATCTATAACAGATATGATGTATCTTGAGTTTCATGAGACTCAAATATCATGCATATTTAGTGAAAAACAATGACAAAAATATTCTGGCAATTGGGACTCTACCAGAGGGCTGCAAATGCCTTGAGGTTGTCATGAGAGTCACTAGAATACCCTGAAATAATTGAAGAAATGTGCTCAATTGCAACACTGCTGTCACCACCTTCTCCTATACATCTGCTGCCCAGATGGACTTTCCATGGCAGCCCAGGCCATTGACTCCTCAGGAAAATGGAAATACTGTGGAAGGTAGGTAAGATGTTATACCCTCCTCCTAGTGACCAAACGATGGAAGATGGGCTCTTGTGAAATAAAGCAAAGAAGATGCCGAGAAGTCTTCAGTGTACATGAACAGATTGTTTCAGTTGACAGTAGAATCTGGACATCATTGAATGTGCCAATAATTCATAATTTCCTTTTTGTGAAATGATTTTACTTGTATATGTAGATTGTTAAGTTCATTTGGTGACCCTTTTAAAAGGTTTTATTTTCTCCTCTTATTTGTTGAAGATGCTAAAAACTGTGATGACCATTTAATAAAAATGTTTAAATGATTATGGCTCATGCCTATAATCTTAGCACTTAGAGGCCGAGGTGGAAGGATCACTTGAGCCCAGGAGTTGAAGACCAGCCTGGGCAACAAAGCAAGAAGCCTCTTTACAAATAATAATAATAATAATAAAATTAGCTAGACTTGGTGGCTCATGCCTATAGTCCCAGCTACTCGGGAGGCTGAGGCAAAAGGATCGATTGAGCCTAGGAGTTTGTGGCTGCAATGAACAAGGCTCTTGCCACTACACTTGCTTCAGCCTGGGTGACAGAGTAAGACTATCTCTAAAAAAAAAAAGTTACCAAGTTTCTTAGCATATTTATTAGGATACCATAAATATCTTGATGCTTGAATTTCAGTAATAATGTTATTACAGAATTATTTTTTGTCTAAGAAAATGATCAAAAATTACAACTTGGGAAAAAAGTGCGATCGTCTTGATTTGTAATGTTGTACTTTTACTTATAGTGCCATGGTGTTGATAAGCAGGCAAGAAATGATTGATTTTTTTTTTTCAGCCGTTTACCTCTGCAAGAGAACAATGCAAAACAAGGCACGACTGGAGCTCGCAGACTATGAGGCTGTAAGTACCAAGGACCTTCTGGCAAGGACAGTCATAGGATGCACAGCAGTAAGGCCCACAGTCTTTTCTGGGCAGGCTGTTAACTCTCCATTCATGGATCTTTTTTCTTTTCTTTTCTTTTCTTTTCTTTTCTTTTCTTTTCTTTTCTTTTCTTTTCTTTTGAGATGGAGTTTCACTCTTGTCACCCAGGTTGCAGTGCAGTGGCACGATCTTGGCTCACTGCAACCTCTGCCTTCCAGGTTCAAGTGATTCTCTTGCTTCAGCCTCTGGAGTAGCTGGGATTACAGGTGTGCGACACCACGCCCAGCTAATTTTTTTTTTTTTTTTTTTTTTTTTTTTTTTTTGAGACAGAGTCTCGCTCTGTCGCCCAGGCTGGAGTGCAGTGGTGCAATCTCAGCTCACTGCAACCTCCACCTCCTGGGTTCACGCCATTCACGTGCCTCAGCCTCCCGAGTAACTGGGATTACAGGCGCCCGATACCACGCCTTACTAATTTTTGTATTTTTAGTAGAGACGGGGTTTCACCATGTTAGCCAGGATGGTCTCGATCTCCTGACCTCGTGATCCGCCCGTCTCGGCCTCCCAAAGTGCGGGGATTACAGGCATGAGCCACCACACCCGGCAGCTAATTTTTATGTTTTTAATAGAGACTGGGTTTCACCATGTTGGCCAGGCTGGTCTTGAACTCCTGACCTCAGGTGATCTACCTGCCTCAGCCTCCTAAAAGTGCTGGGATTACAGGCATGAGCCACCGCGCCCAGCCTCATTCATGGATCTGAAGGGTCAGATTTCCAGGGATCTGGCATCACAGTGGGCTCATGAATCCATTTACTTACTTCCTCTCTTCATTCACATTGCGTGTGGCAAAACTCGAAATACATAAACTCAAAGTATAAGAGGGAAGCATATCTTATTTTCTAAAATCGACTTAACTGTCAAAATGTCAGATACATCCTACATAGTGAAGATATCCAAACTCTGAGGATTAAAGACCATTTACCCTGGGAAAGAGTGGGTTTTGCCAAAATTTTATCTGCTGACGGTGATCATCAGCAGATAGAAGTCATCTGCTGTCATTTGTGCAGATGGTTGCTACGTTAGATTTCCTGAATTCAAAGCACTGGGTAGGAACAGGTTGTGGGCCGCCAGGGTGTTACATGTATTGTGAGGAACCGAATAGGCTGACTGCATGCGTGGTAGGAATGTATTGCTGTTCTGTTCCTCTATAAAGTGAGTACAGAAAAATCCAATGGGTTCATCTGGAACACCTCCTTATGTACCAGGTAATTTTAGTATTTTGCAGATACATATTGGATTTTTAGTCCCGTTCTCCGAAGTCAGTAATTCAAAAACTTGATATTTGTAACAGATTTTTCTGCTTCCTCTAAGACTGACAATATGAAGATGAGCTGAATTCAGGGAGCGTGGCTTATCTTTGAGAACCACAGTACACTTAGGGCTTTAGAAACTCTCTATTTGTTTCCTTGACAAATACAAGTGGTAACCAAGCTAGAAGAGAGCAGTGAAGAAGAACACTGAATGTCCTCACATGGGGTATGTTTTTCAGGAGAGCCTGGCCAGGCTGCAGAGAGCGTTTGCCCGGAAGTGGGAGTTCATTTTCATGCAAGCAGAAGCACAAGCAAAGTGAGTCCTTGTGAGTCTTTTGGAAGATTTGTTCAAGTTGTGCCTTTTTGTCCAGAGAGGCACTGCAGTTAATACTAAATGCTATCCATTGTTACCGTGTTGACAGAGTGGACAAGAAGAGAGACAAGATTGAAAGGAAGATCCTTGACAGCCAAGAGAGAGCGTTCTGGGATGTGCACAGGCCTGTGGTAAGCAAGCGTCACACTCTCATCTTGAATCCGTCTTCTCTGTCTGTGGGAAGAGAGGGGAGCCTTACCAAAGTAAGGGAAAGCCTGGAGTGACCCCTTGCACTCCCCACGGTATCTTGGTGAATTCGTTAAGAAAAGATCACCACTTTGGTGTAGGATGACCAGACCTCAGTAGCATCAGATTTAATTTCTAAAACCATGCATTTTCCCACCATGATAACGCTTGCTTACTCTCTTGCTATTTGAGGTATCTAATGCTTCTGTATACATTTGAAAGAAAAACCACTGCAACAAAACAGTTTTTCATGTTTTATTGTTTACATTTTTCTGGCTTTATAGTAAAAGTGCAAGTAAAGATGTTATTCCTGCCCTAATTTTCCTTCCCTCCCTCCCTCCCTTCCTTCCTTCCTTCCTTCCTTCCTTCCTTCCCTCCTTCCTTCCTTCCTTCCCTCCCCTCTCTTTCTTTCTCTTCTTTCTTTCTTTCTTTCTTTCTTTCTTTCTTTCTTTCTTTCTTTCTTTCTTTCTTTCTTTCTTTCTTTCTTTCTAGTTACGTATTGCTTCCTTTATTTCGCCTCTCTATTCTGTTCCATTGTCGTGTGCCTGTTTTTGTACCAATACTGTGCTGTTTTGGTTACTGTATTCCCAGTACACAAAACATTCATCAGTGTTCTCCAACAGAGAATAAGACACAAACACATTTGATTCTTCTTATCCAGGCAGCAATGTTTTGAGCAGTTGCTTGAACACTGAATTAGGGAATACTGAATCCTCGATCCTAGGGGAAATACAGATAAGTTTCCTTTTTCCTTCCTTCGCTTTTCCAAGCCTAACACATTTTTTTGTCAATGGATCAATACACACCAGGCATATGTGTTTCTGTTTAAAGACATCTATTTAATATAAGGTCGCTGATTCATTAATAATGAAGTCATAGAAACGAAAGAACATAGTTAACAAAGAGAGAATAACTTAAATGTAACATTTCATAAATATAATGTAAAGAACAGAACATTTGTTATATTTTTTCTTTTTTTTTTTTTTGAAGATTGATGAGATGAGTCCAGACACTATTGAGTAATATTAGGTATACTGCCAATACTTAAATTTCACTTCTATCCAGCATCCCATAGTTTCTAAACAAGATATTATAATCAAACACCAAAAACATTAGTTTGTATTAGAGAGAGTTTAAATAATGAAGATTTGAACTTGGTATTGGGGACCATCATAGTTTCTGGGAAGGCAAACAGAACCATAACAAGATATCCCAAAGTTTCAGGGCAATATTGAAAGACAGATTATTAACCGAAGAATAACGAAGTACAAGGAACAAGAAACAATAGAAGAGAATGTTGTTGGGGAGAAGCAAAGAGCACGCATTACCGAAGATCAAACACCTTTAGAGAGATCCAGAATCAGCATTCATCACAGCAACACTTAAAGTTCAGTTAAATGAAAGAACCAAAGAGTATTCTCCAAGATAATCACACAGATCAAAGATATAGTTACACAAATATTTTTTCAAAGAACCAAATTTATAAAACTACAAAAAAGTTCAAACATGGGGAAATTATATGAAATGAGCCTTAGTAAAATGGTATGCGCAATGTAATGCAAAGAGAGTTTTTCTAAAAAAACCAAACAAATGGAATAATCAAAAGAACCACCATATCAATAATAACAATAATACATACAAACAATATTAGAATATGCTTGAATAATCAACATAAATATTGGAAATAAGAATAATATAACAAAAAGAAGTTTAATGTAAGAATGCTGCAGAAAGCAAGAGAGTCAAACAAATATTTTTTCAAACAAACCATTGAGAAAAATATCATTTCACGCTATGCGGTAATAACATATTGATGTTGATAATCAGACAACCCAACAATAGAATTTAGAAAAATTTAGAGAACATTTCATGCCCTTTCAGTTCAATCAAATAAAGAGCAGGTTTTCTTATTAGTATCTAGTCAACATAATGAACAACTGAAAGAAGAGAGAGCAAACAGAAATAACATTAACATTATCCATTAGATCATTTTTCAGAAAGGGGAAGTTCAGTTCAATTATCTTGTCATGTACAGAACTCACACATAATTAAGAACAAATCATCAGAACTTTTCCACAAACCTGCAGAGGGGAAGGTTGGAAGATATCCAAATGGGTGAAATGAGGCGTTATTGAATCTGTAGTTAAAGAAAGCGTTAAGAAGCAGAGACCACACTTGTTGGTAGAAAGAGAGTTCATTTGCGTTACATTTTTTTAAACCATTTACAGAATCAAATATTACAAAAGATATTAAGAAATGAGATTTGTTCGAAACAAATAATGTTAATGCCTCTTAGATGAAGGCACAAACAAGAGTTATCAGGGTTGTACAGAGACTTAGTCCAAATAGTTAAAGATTATTAATAAACATTAGCAACCAGAACAAAAACAGACATCCAAAGGCATCTTCACCAAAGCGCTGAACCGCAATTGTATTGCAAGAAAACTTCAGACTAAGGTTTAAAAATAAAGATAACCAAAATGACTCTCGAAAGATATCACTTGAAATATTGAGACATCAGTTTCATCTAAACAAAACAAAGTTCATGCCAATGAGCCAAACTGCAAACAAACATATTTTGACGCCTTAATATTATTTGGGAATAACAGACAGTCGAACTGAATGAAATGTGATTAAAAATCAAAGAAACACGAAACAGAAGACCACTTAACATGGGTATTATTCCAAAAATGAAAGCGTTATATAACAAAGCGGGTAGGCATTTTATGAACAGGACAACATTTAGAAAGAAAGAACAACCAAGAATCAACATATTGATAATAGAATAACCTGGTGATCTTACTTACAACCAGAGGTGCCCACAGAAAGGCCTTCTAATACAAGATAGCATTAATGAATCACTCTGCATATAGAAAACAGGGGTTTATATCAATCCATGGAGTTGTTGAATAGATATTTGTTGTCCAGGAGCTTCCAGTGAACAGGAGAAGAACTTACTAGATTTACTTGAATCATATAAATTATAAATGTAAAACAAGAGAATATCTTTTAGTAGAAATAGACATTGGCATACATAATCATTGAACATCTGAAACAATGTCACTTGAAGAAGATAACATCACAAATATATTATTTGAAGAAATAACACCACATTGAACACAAAACTTCCATAACAAAAAGCTTAACGGGAAAGAACATAGTTTAAATAAAGAACAACAAGATATCATTACAAAAACATATTAACAAATATGAAGGAACACTTCGGGGAACAGACACGAACGAATCGAATCCCACTGCACGGAACTTCGATATATCACATGCACAAACGAAGAAAGAACCCTGGCGCGGTAGGCTCCTATCGTTTGAGGTGAAGGTGTCCGAAGAATGGCAAAATGGAAGACAAAGTCATCGCCTAACTCGTTGCGAAATTTCACACGGTGGTGCAAAAGCTGCCAAAGAATAGGAAGGTGTGGTGGAACAGCAGAGGCAGCGCCGCCTTAAGACAGAACGAAGAACACAAGAAGCACGAACACTATGAGATGAATAGAAACACTTATTAACTTATAACATTAGGTAATAGGCGTAAACAGCATCAAAAAGGTGAACAAACAAAGAAATCACTGCCACTTAAAGAATATTGAATATGAATGTGATCGAACATAACGTTGAAATAATCATTCACACGTGTTTTTAATATAAACATAATGAATTAGAAAGCACGACGTTATCATTCTGCAATGATGAAACACAAACGAGAACATGTTGTACAAGATAACCAACCAGTAGAGGGTAGGTCACACGCCAGCACAAAAGAAATAAACAAATGACGTAACATTATGGTTTCACACGAGTTTAGGTAACAATCGTCCTTGACTGGTTAAACACAGTCAAGAAACATATTGCATTTTCAATAGTTTCATTAAAGTTCAAACTAAAGAATTGCAGAATAGAAACAATTCAGAGCAAGGACACATGATGTCAGTTCATGAATAGAAACTGAGAAACAATGAAATGTAAATCAAATACATGAGAGATAGGTGATAAATTATTATGTTTTAGAAAAGAACAAACAAACAAATATTTCATAAATTATCAAAGAAATAAATCAGTATCAGCCCTTCACAAATGTAATAAGAATAAAGAACTTCATTGAATAAAACAGAACAGAACATCACCATTAGTTGAAACAAAAATAAGTAATTGAGGAATGGTGGATTAGCAAATAATAAATGCCACATCATCAAACCGAACGATTTGAATTATCGGAAGAAGAAGTCTTCAGAGAACTGAAGAAAAACTATATATTTCAGACATTGGTGAACAACACCACATACAAAGAAACATAGTTCCAGAAGATTAATAGAAAACATGAAACAACAATAGATATTATAAAAACAAAATACAATGCCAAAAAAAAAAAAATAGTGGAGAAAAAGAAAAAATAACCAATAAACGAAGAATAAAAGTTGCAGAACATCAAGAATGAATTTATATCTTTCAAGTTATAGTTGTGGAAAAGTTCAGCCCAATGAAATAATCAAATGCCGACAGAACATATATTTTGTAAACAAAATTCAAACAAACAACGTTAGCAAATTTGAGGTTTCTCAGAATTAAACCTTCGTTGAACCCAACAGTTAGTAAAAAAACAAATATAAGAAGAGTATCGAAATGTAAAGAATAACCAAACAAAAAAAGAAAATGTTATACAAAATATAAGAAGAAAAAGGGTAGGTTAAACAGGTGGCTGTGTAAGCGGCAGTAACACAACTAAAATAAAGAATAAAGATATTGAAACATAAACAAATAACAAGAGATTTATTGTTTTTTTCTTAAAGATAAATTTAGTATTGAAAGAAGATCCAGAAAGCAACTAAATAATAAGAATGCCAGCAAAAGCAAAGAATACTGAAGAAAGAAAAGAGGTACAGAAATAATAAAGAACAAACATAGCACTTAAACAGGTGGTTGTTCATCCAACAGC